TGCTGCTAAACTTCTATCTCAAGAGCTGGACATTGCAGTTCTTGTGCTTATCCTTTGCAGAACTATTTATGGAAGGATCAGAGTTGTGATCTTCCTCTCATAGCAGTGTTGGGAGGAAGGCAGGTCTCTAATCCAACACCTCACTTGTAGGAATACTATTTCTAACCCTGGGTCACATCAGCACTGGCTTTCCCCAAGGACAGGGATTTGCCCAGCCCCTCTTGGTGACCTCTCACAGGCTGTACTTCCCTCAGTGTCCTCCAGCCTAACCCTCCCAAGCTGCAGTTTGGTTCCATTGCCACTGTAACTGCATTTCCAAGAGCTGCAGGCTGTGCTTAGCCCATCCCTTGGCTTCCCTTCCCCCAGCTAGCCAGGCCTGATCCTGATCACAGCTTTCTGATTTCCCTCCTTCACGTCTCTGGCTGGTCTCTTTACATCACTTTTTTGAAGTGAAGGCCCCAAACTGGTCCCAGGAACCCAGATGCAGCCTTGCTAGTGTCAGACAGAGGTAAAAACTTCCTGGCCTTACTCCTAGGGCAGTCCAGGACATCATTGGCCTTTTTTGTAATCAGCCCTTGCTGCAGGCTGATGCTCAGCCCGTGTCCCCTGTCCCCTCCACCAGCCCTGTTCTTGCTCAGCCAGGGCATTCTCAGCCTGAACTGCTGCTGAGGGCCATGTCCAAGATCCATAGGTACACTGGGCAGTGGAGGTGTGTGATGCCTCTGTTTGCAAAGCTCCACTGGGTAAGGCCATGAGGAACTTGATCCAGCCTTACAATTAGCACTGTGTCTACTCCTACCTAAATCCTTTTGTGTTTCTGAGTTGCTTAGGTAGAGTTTGTTTTAATTTTTGTTTTGCCATGATTGGACTTTGTTTCTGCTGGTGAGTTTGTTTCCTGGAAGAAAATATTCTCTCCAGAAATGCATCTTCTCATAGCTCTGTGATGTTTGGAGCCTTTGTTCTTGCTGTCCCTAGAAATAGGTAAGAAAGAGGCAGCAGGAAGGTTCCTTGATGGGAAAGGGCTTTGGGGAAGGAAAGGAAGAGAAAGTCTTGGGCAAGAGATACAGAGCAGTGCTGGAGAGCTGAGGAGCTTTGAGGATGGCTTGTGTCCAGGTACCATCAGACTTGAGGAAGGCAGGAACTATGAAAAATGAAAGGAGACATGAAGTCAGCATTGTGGACTGCGAGAACCCAGGCTGAGTCACTGTACCCTAGAAAAGAGGATTACACTATCCCCTTTGGAAATAAAGCAAGAAACTGGTAAATATATTATCTAGGACCCTGTTGGAGCCTGGGACAAGGAGGAAGGAGCAGAAAGAATTTGAACACTTAGTGTGATACTGCTTCCTTCCATGGAGTTTTCTGCTGGGACTGGCACATCCCTGGGAGACAGGCTGGGATGGCAGAGGTTTAGTCTGTGCTTTGTTTGTGTAGCTACAATGAGGCTGTAGTTCTGTCTGGTTTATTTATAACACAGATGTCACTATTTTTGTCTGTCTGTAAATAAATTGTATGGCTGGCAAAAGGTGATAGAGTGGATAGACAGATTTTAGTTAGGGTAAATTACAGAATGCTACAGAGTGGTATTTAAAAATGGCCTTTAATCTCACCTTTCTCTTGAGCACAGAAAGAAAAATAAAATTTATCTGTTAATTATTGTAACAAAGCCAAAAGGTTTATTAGAGTATTTGTCATTTCCTTTCTTAGTTGTCCTCTCTGAAAATGCACATCCCTGTTGGAGAAGTGTGTTCTGCTAGGCAAGCAGCATTTAAGGCTAATTTTTTGTAATAAGAAACTGTTTATTTCCAAGGAATTTCCACAGAATTCCCCATCATACCACTTTCTTAAATTTTTTTCACAAAGAGTTGTAATTAACTTCTTCTTATCCCCATAGTGGTTTGCATCTGGTTATACCCATCTCAGAGTATTAATTTGTAAGGTTGTTCTAGGGAACAAAATCCTCAAGGACTAGTTGCTGCTTGGTTTTTTCCCTCTGTGTCATTAACAGCTCATTTCTTATATGAGAAGGAAGAAGACAGAGTTCAAAAATTGTATTTCTGTTCCTGAGGTAGGGTGTGAAAAGCAGCTTTCCCTGAGCAGTGCTTGCTCCTGCTTGGGCTGAGCAGGAGCGAGTGAGTCACAGTTACAGGGAAGCTCAGCTGGGAACCTGAGTCTAAACTGGCTCCCTCCTTCCAAGGCCAGCAGAATTCCCTGGGTTTCCCTATAGGATTCTGACCTTCTGCCTTGTGTGGTGGGTGTGGATCAGGAAATTAATGATCCTCTGTGATCCTGACCTGTGTGAGCTGGTACCAAGCACTGCTGGCTCTGGGAGTGCCTGGCAGAGGAGTTGCTGGGGTTTTTGGGAGGTGGAGACTGGGGCAGAGGGGGTGAGTTATGTTCCAGCATGGTCAGCTCAGGCTGTGGGCCATGTTGGGATGTGTGTGAAATGCAGAAGGGAGGGAAATGGCCCAGAGAGCTCGTGTGCTCTACTTGGGAACTTCTCTTCACCTTCCAAGAAAACAAAAATACAATTTTATCATTCCCTTGTACTATAAGGGAAGGGGATGTATTGTTACAGTGAAGAGTCCGTGTCCTTTGAAGGAACATCTTGGTTTGTGGAACTTTTTCTGAACTTTGAGTCATTTCTCTCTGTTCCTCCCAGTGCTGGCAGCCGGGAGTGCCTGCATATCCTGAGGAGATTAGGGAGCAATAAACCTGTTTGTGAGAAGTGGCCTCCAGCAAACTGATGTGAAGTCCTATTATAGAACTCAAGTGGCTGCAGTTGGCACTTCTATGTCTGTTCCAGCTTTGCATTGTTTGTATGAATATGGTGCTGTGAGAGACCGGCAGGGACTTCCCCTCTGCTGGGATCCAGAAAGGGAAAACTCCTGAGCAGAGCTGGGTCCTGGCTGGAGAACCCCAGGCAGGGCAGGGTGGGAGCAGATGGTAGAAGCAGAAGTGGGGATTTGTGTGACCCCTGACCTGGGGCTGGTGCTCCCTCCCCACACACATTCACTTGGTCTGGGCTTTGCTCTTGGAGCTCTGCTGAGGAGAGGGCAGGAGGAAGCTGGGAGAGGAGTTGTCTTTATTTAACCCAGTGAACTGTGCTCCCAAAGTGAGTGTCCAGCTCTGCCCAGCTTCACCTCTGCCACCACCTCAGATCACCTGCATTGTCCTGCTGTGGGACAGAGTGACCAGGGCTGGTGCTCACCATCCTCCAGCCCTCATGAGCTCCAGGAACTCCCTGGCCCCCCCTGAGCTCCAGCATCACTGAGGAGCAGACACAAAGATGTGCAGTGTGTGAGGAGGACAGGAAGGAGAACAGGTATCAGTGATCAGGCTGGCTCTCCAAAGGTTAAGAGCTGTTCAAACTCTGAATACTGGTTTTGATAGAAATATTGAAGGCTGAAAATGATCTCCAGCTTTTCTGTGTAGCAAGACAGAGAAGAGGACAATTGAAGAACCCCAATCTCCAGGTTAATGTGTTCTATACAGAGCAGTTGGGGACAAAAGTTGGTTTGGGCTGGTGGGATATGTGTGCCAGTGTTCCTGCTCCTGAAATGGAACAGCATTTGGGAGAAGAAAGAGGTCTCCCATTTAAAGAAAGAGCCATGGAGAAGAGGAGTGAAGAGGAGGCAAATCCTTGTCTCTTCTTCCATGGGTCTCTGATGAATGGGTTATAAAGTATTATAAGCTGCAGGTAGAAGTAGTGCTTAAAGAAGCCTTTACAATTCTCACTTCTTTACCTCATTGCAAGCAAATCTGAGGCTAGTTGGGAGATTCAGTATATGTTAAGAAAAAAGCTCAAAGTTTAAAGAAAATAATGAAGTAAAGCCAGTTCATCATATACATTCTTCTGCATTTAGTGGACTCAGACTTGGCTGCTTTATCCTGAAACCATTTTGTTTTGAAACAGTTAGAATAAACAAACTGAAAGTCACAGCTGTATTTACTTGACTGTTGCCTTCTGCGCCTTATCACATATGTTGTTGTATTAATGAAACTCTTGTGTTGGAGCCATTGTGCAGTGGGAAAGCCTGTTGCCTTTTCCCAAGAAGGAGTGTCTCCCTGGGGGAGCAGGGAATTCCTCATCCTTCCACATTCCAGCTGCTGATTTTGCAGCTTATATTGTAGTTATTTGTCAGAGTTTAAAAAATGTTCCCTCCCATGTCTGAAAAATTCCCTGGTTTAGGGTCTCATTGTGTACTTAAATACAAATGCTGCCTGTGATGTAGAGCTAGAACTGGAGATTCACTGGGGAGGGGATCCATGGGGATCACCATATCAGCCATATGTTTGTTACAGATAGGAGAGGAGTGAGGAAAAGACATCATGTGAATGCCTAATGACACTCTGCTGGCTGCTCCTAATTCCTGATGGAAAAATTGATTTACCAGTGCTTTGTACCTTTCACAAAATCAGGTCTGGGACTGTTTAAGTTGGGCACAAAATAAAAGACTTGCTGAAGTTGGGAAGGAAGTCTTGAAAATATTTTTGTAATTTATCTCTGAAGCAGTGCTTTGGCATAGCTAATTATGCTCCCAATGGATAGAAAATGTCCTTGTTTGAATGTAGCCTTGGTCATACTTTAGGCAAGCTGTTTGTGTGGGTGGGTGCTCTGCTTCAGAGGGGAAATACTGAAGAGCAGATACTTTGTTGTTCATGGGGCAGAATGACGAGACCAAGTCCAGCATGAGAGGAAATAGCATTGTCCTTTGTGGTATCACTGAATTGCAGAGTGACTCAATAGGAAATCATGAGCCACATCTACATATGTAAAATGCTCAGAAATAGCATAAAATAGGTGTGACATCCTAAATCCACACTGGTTAATAATGCAAGAAATTGTCATTGCCTATTTAAGATGCATTTTTATCCCCAGGCCATAATTTAATTGTTGGTGGGGTTTAATCTTCTCCTAATCACTGGAAGCACAAACTGTTTTTCCTGCTCTGTGTACCGTGATGTTAAAATGTGTTTGTTATTTATTGTATTTTCAGGTTCAAAGTAAACAAGAGAAGAAGGCAGGAACTTCATCCCCAGCTCCCCTGCAGCCTGTGGTTAGCACTTGCACTCCTCTGCCTGTGAATAAGGCCAGCAGCAGTACCCCTGTGCCCATAAACATTCCACGTTTCTACTTCCCTAAAGGACTCCCCAGTGTCTGCACTAACCATGAGGAAATCATTGCCAGGATTGAAGAGGCCTTTGCAGAGTTTGAAGATGGGAAAGCAAACATCTGTGAAATGGGGAAAATTGCTAAGGTAACCACTGATGGTCTTGGAGCTCTTTTTCAACCTTAATGATTCTGTGAATCTATTCTTTAGGTTTTTAATTTTGGGAGAGATACTTTGTTTTAGTTTCAGTCTATCTCACAGCTGTTGTAGGGAGAAAAAGAGCCAATTTCCTTTTGATCTGAAGTTTTTTGTTTAGATTTAGATAATAATAAACAAAAATGAGCTCAGTTTGCTGATTGTCACATCAGATATGTGTTTGTTCTGGCTTTGATTTATGAAGCAATTCTCTAAGATTTCTTAGCAAATACAAATTGCATTTTTGTTTCTCCATTCTTTCATATTTCTGCCCAGAAGATTGAGAAACTCAGAGGCAGAAACTTGTCTGCTTCTGTGGTTTCAGGTAGCATCAGCTGCCTGTTTTGTGGCTTTTTGTAGCTGTTCTGCTCAGCTAGCATGAGCTGTAGGTGCTATTGCAGTGTTGTGTGAGGAAGCAGCTTCCAACTTCCAGCTCCTGGACATGTAAGGGGGACATGTCCAGTGAGCCCCCAGCCCCTGAGCTGTGCACATTCAGTGGTGCAGCTGGTGATGAGTTCTGCCTTCAGGGGACAGCACACAGCACTTGTGTGGGAGCACACAAGATGGTCCCTTCTCTTTCCCTCTCCCTCAGCTGCAGTTCACAGTGCTGCTGATCTCAAACCAGCATTTATCAGACACATCCTGGATGATCAGCTTGCCCTGAATGAGTCTCTGGCACTGTAAACAGAGCAATGATGCTCTCCCCAAGCTTTCATGGACTGCCATTGAGAGCCAGCAGCTTCTGCAGAGGCTGGTTCAGGAGTGCTGGTCAGGGAGTCCTTTGGCTGGATTCAATCCTTCCCCTGTGTGCTTTCATTTTTGTGTTCCCCTGCTGAGATCTTGCAGTGTTGCAAATAATGGACTGTGCTGGGTGGAAGGCACTGCACTGAAAATTGCAGGGTGGGATTTACTTCACCTTTAGGCATTTACTCAATTAATTGTCTTTAGACTTGAGGTTCCCTTGCTGCCTGTGACAGGTTATCCCATAGGAGAATGGGCCCTCCTGTTTTAGGGTGGGTGGGGGATGTAGCTGCTGTGAGTGTCCTCCTGGAAGGAGGTGCCTGTCTCTCCATTCCACCCCCAGGAACTGTGCTAAACAGTTCAGAGCTTGAGTAGTCCAGATCCTTTTCCTGAGAGGAGAGTTTCTCACCACTTGAAAGGGCACATGACAAAGTAGAAAGTTATGTGTGAATTCTCAACCTTGGCAGGCAGTAAATGGCACACAGGTGAGTCAGAAAGCCATTGCCACTTTATTTCCCTTGTGTCAAGTCTCAGTGGTGAATCTGGTGTGTAAATGAGCAGGTTCCTCTTGGGACTGCTCTTGTATTCCTCCTTGCCCTGGTTTTTCCTTGCAGATATGTGGCTGCCCACTCTACTGGAAAGCACCTCTGTTCTATGCATCTGGGGGAGAGAGGACAGGACGTGTTTCTGTGCACTCCTTTGTGTCCATGTGGAGAAAGTGAGTATAGCAAATGCAAAACTCTTTCTAGGAGAAGACATCAGCCTGCCATACAAATATTTTTCTTTTTTTTTTTCTTCTTTTCCACCAGAGTTTTCAAATAATTTTTCTCTTCTTTAAGTGGCTTAAAAATATCCATCAGCTTGAGATGTTTTCCCCCCCAAACCCTTTGAACACTTGTTTTCCTGTGATATCCACAACCTTGGAAGTAATTGCATAGATAGTAAGATGTTTTGAGTTAGTTGGTGTATAAAATACATTTACAAGCTCCCCAGAAATGTCAGCTATTCTGAGGTAGCTGTGGATTTGGGGTATATTTGTGCCCAGCCTTTATTATTGCTCTAGACTGGTGCACTAAGCAAGTGCCATTTGGGAACTGGGGGAGGAGGTATGTGATAGTGTTACAGGACAGAAAGAGGAATGTGGAAATAAGCATGATCATATAACTGGGTACTCTGGGAGCTTTAATAGTTACTGCCTTCCCAAGCAAGCTATTGAATTCATCTGTGGAGTTTGACAGTCCACACTGTGGAATTGGAGAGCTCTGGGTGGATGCATTATGCTTGGAGTCAGCTCTGACATGGAGCAGACTTGTTCTCTTGCCTCATCTTTTTCCCTCCAGGGCAATTCAGGCTTTAGTGTACTTTGTGAAACACCTGAACAGCGTCTCCATCTTCTCTCCTGAGAGAGGTCTAATTTTTTACTTAATGGTTGCTCTTCAGATTCTTGATGTAGCCTTTAACCCTGAATTCCCAAAGTATTTCCTGTGATGATGTTGTCAAAACAGCTTCTAGTTATCCTGGCAAAGTTACAAAAATGTAAGGGGTGACTGTGTTCTCTAAGTTTGTTATGACACAGACAATATATTTTCCTTCCTTAGGTTCCTCCAATTACCTCTAATTAATCCCTAATGTATGATACCACATTTTCACTTCTCTGATTTTCACATCCTTCAGATATTTGCAGACTGTGGTCATGTCCCTCTTCTGTATCCTTTTAACTACCCCATTTCCAGGCCAAGCTTTGTATGCTTTTCTCACTTAATTGCTCTTTTAGAAAGATACTATTTTTTATCCCCTCCTCTTCCCCTCTGAGTTACAAAAGTTACAAAATTTTGCTGGAAAGCTGAAAAACAGAAGGAATGTAGGATTTCTAGTAAAGTTTGACTGCAGCCATGTGAGCACAGGTGTAACTTTAAACAAGGTATCTTTAGTTGCTGAAGCCTGTTTCCAATTTTCTTAGTATATGACTGACTTCTCAAGATGCCACATGCTCGCTGGTTGTCAAGTCTATAGGAACTTCTCAATATAAAACACTTCTGAATGTCAGATCTTTTTGTTTGTGGCTAAAACAGGGCTTTGGGATTCATCTTTATGTGCCAGATTTTTTAAGCTAAAACATTAGCAACTCTCTCTGCAGCTGATTTAGAATATATCTGTTAATTGACAGTTACCATGATAGGAATGTGCAGCCAAAAGGATTGCTAAATCTTTTTTTGCTTATTTAAAGGAACCCTTTTTTTGTAAAGTCTGCCTTTCCCAGAGTGATGAGGCCAGAATTAGCAGGAAACAAGTTAGTGTGATCTCTGCTAGAGAACTACAGCCACTTCAGCACTATGTTCATGCACTTTCAGGAGAGGAAAGTGGTGAATAATCACTCACAGTAAATAATTACAGTGCATTTGCATTTTCAGAGTTAATGAAGAAAACAGTGTCGTTTTCTGAGTTTCCCTAATACTAAGTGAACAACATAGTGTTTGATATATTCAAATGTTGTGTTCTGTTACCAGTGTTTGGTAAATGGCATGGAGTTCCCCTCTTCATGAGTTTCTCTGGGGTTAATCACATAACTGTGATACCTTTGGCAAGTGCAGTATTTTGTGTGAGAAGAAGAGAGAGACAAGAACTGCTGTGTCAGATGCACACTGTCAGCCAGAGGGGACTGAGTTTACACCTTCTCCAAATGCTCAGTCCTACCAATGCCTTCATTGGCTGTTCTCTGTGGCTTTGGTGCACAGCTCCAGATGGACCATAATTAACAGGGGATGTCCTTTTTCTTTCTGAGAAGTGATTTTTGTGGCTGAATGCTCAGTGCCTGTAGTTTGGCAATCTCCCCAAATATTGCAGTGCAGTGAAGGGTAACATTGGAGAGCACATCCTGTGGCATCCCATTGGGCTGGTGCTGTTCACTTGGAGTGAGCTTGCAGCATTAGTTAGAGTCAGGTTACTTATTCTGATTCCACAGATGTTTAATAAGAAAGCTGCTTTACCACAGCAGCGTTAACCTGGAAAAAATCCCTGCTGAGTGCCCTGGTGCAGCTGAAAGACCTTGAAGGAAGGGCTGGCAGTCTGAGGTCAGCATTTGAGTGATTCCCAGCACAGGTGTATCGTGCTTTAAGGCCCTGGTGACCCTCCCGGGGCTCCTGGGAGGTGCGAAGGGCTGGCAAGAACTCCTCCCCTCTCCCACAGAATCCTGCGGAGCTGCCACGACGATGCCTCCAGGTTCACTTCCCTTCTGGCAAAGCCTGGCTGTGACTGCCTACAACAGGAGGATTTCATCCCGCTGCTGCAGGTACTGCCCCAGCTCCGCTGCCTTCACTTGGCACCTTCTTTGTTTCCATGGCAATAAATGTTTACCAAGGACGAGCAGACCTTTGGTTTGAACAGCACCTGGGTGGGGTTCATCTTGGAGTGAAATAGAAATTAGTTTCTGAAGTGCTTAAGTGCCGAACCAGCTGCAAATGCTTCTAAAGGCATTGAGGACTGGTCTTTTCTCAGGATTCATATTTACCAGTGCCTGGTAACCCAGGCTGGAATTTGCCCCATTTCTCAATGTGGATATTGGGAAAAATGCTTGTTGCTGTTGGTAGTCAAGTACAACATAAAAGCTTATTGGAAAAGTTGTAAAAGTTGCTTGGCAAGACAGTTATAATTAAATTTGTCTAGCCAGACTACCAGATACAGTATCACATGGAGTATATAAAATTTCTGCAGTTCCAGTTGTTCTGTATATGCCTCTAAACCTGCTAGTGCACAAATGTCACTGCTTTTTTTTCCCCTCATATTCAGGCTAAATCTGCACATCCTCATTTCATGTCTTTCTTTCCCTTTCATTATCTTTAACAAAGAACAGTTGTTTTAATTATTTGTGGCCATTTATGCAGGCTCTGGATAGGGCTTCTCTATAGTGTCTCTAAATCATGTCCATCTGCTCCTCTATCAGCATTACTTTTTCTGATCTTTTCCACACATCCCTACATTTCTCACACAGTGCTGCCCTCTGGGTAAAACCTCTGTGGAGATGCTGCTTTGGGGAAAGATTTTGTGTCTGTGCTGGCTGTTTCAGTCTCAGACAAAACTGGGGCTGTGATGGGTACATTTTCTCATGCTGCTCTTTATCTCTTCTCCACTGGGCACCCTGCCTTTCCTGGTGGATTGCAGCTCTGCTCTTTAGCTCCTGGTGCAATCCAAGGCATGCACAGTCCTGTCTGTCAGTCAGCCAGAGATCAGCAAAATTGCTCTGATTTACGCCACCATCTGAGACATCCTGTTATACTGCCCAGAAATTGGGCATCTCACACCCCTGAGGGCACCATGGCATGGAACAGGCACAGCAGAACTTGGAACACCTTTAAAGGGTAGAGGAGTCAGACATGGAGAAATTACACAGGCACTGATTCATACAGGATCTGAGCAGTTTCTCCATGGATTTGATCATGCAGATTTGGCATTGTGAGCCAGTGTTTGACTTAAAAAAAGCTGGTCTTGAGAAAGAGGCATCTCCACAAGTAGTCCATGTGAATTTTGGAAAAGCATTAATCATATCTGTAAGCATTCTGAGGCTCACACAGCTTTCATTGGACAAAGGAGACTTTCTCAAGGCATGTTTATTTCTGACACCTAGTTCTAACAAATGTTAATGCCTTCAATGAATGGAGGAAAACAAAAATCTTGGAGAGGAGATAGTTGCATGGTCCACTAATTAATTTTTGTATCGTTCAATGAAAATGAGTTTTCATCTACTCACTAACTCTCTTCCTTTGTTTTTCTGTCCTTAAGTAAATCAAACTGGCCCACCAGGTGCGTATTGCCCAGCAAATGCATTCTATTACTGTAATAGAAGGTTCTCTTGGTAGAGTAAAAGATTTCAGTTTTATTGTTGATGCTGCAAATAGTTTCAAGAGTAAGCAAAAGTATTGGTTTGTAAACCCATAACTTCTAAGCATTAAAAGGAGAAGAAAATCTATTTCATTTCATCTCATTTTCTCTTACCTTGCAGGATGTGGTAGAAACTCATCCTGGCCTCACGTTCCTGAAGGATGCTCCGGAGTTCCATTCCCGGTATATCACCACGGTAGGCTGCTTCTCTGATCCCCTGAGGTGCCTCTGCCTCCCTTTGGGATCTGCCACTGGTTCTACCAGCAAATCCTTTACTTATTTAAAAATATAGGTGCTTTTAATATTGCTCACCATGAGGTATTTTAACTACTGCTTCCAAAAGAAAAATAATCTACTTGTGTGTGCCAAGGGTTATTCCAAAGGTTAATAATGGTTCTTTCTGGTCTTAAGCAAATCTATAAAAACATCTTTTTTGGCCTGATGAATGGAAAAAAAGTTCTTTGGTCTTTGGGAGCTACTAAGTCACCCTGAATAGTGCTGGGCTGCTGAGACATGGAAGGCTGCCTGTTTGAAGGTTTCTGTCGCTGAGGCTTGGAGAATCCGTGACCATTTGCCTCCAGGGATCTGCTGTCCAACCTTTCTTTTGCCAGGATGCCTGTCCAGGCTCTCTGTCCCCAAGCTTTTGTGGCTGGGGTTTGTTCAGTAGCTTTGTTCCAGCTCTGCAGTCAGCACTAAGACTGGTACTTTACCTAAGTGTGTTTGTGCTTTTTTTTAAGCCTTGAATTTGACTGGTGTTGGGTGTGAATCTGGATAAAAGGTATAAATGTTGGGAAGTTTTATCTCTGCAGCAGTAACAAATTCAAATAATGACAGACCTGATGGGAGCTGTATCCAACAGGGCTCAGGGCTTAAAGTTTCTCCTGTTTGCTTGCCAGGGCCTGCCTGGGGCTGCACCACACATGGCAGCTGGGAGGCTCCTGGCACACACATGCTTGTTCCTTTCCTGTAAGGAGCAGATGGCACAAAGACACTTCTTCAGGGCAAGCCCTGAACTGTCACACTAATGAAAATGTATAATGAGAATCCATTCTAAATGTTGTAGATGCACTTGAACATGACAGTGAACAATGACATTGTATAATCAATTGTAGATGCACTTGAACATGACAGTGAGCAGCAGTGTATAATCAATATGTTTAGTCCCTGTGGAGCAAGACAACTTAAATATTAAGCCAGAACAGGTATAGGAATGGCCAGGGAATTATGGAGGCACGTGAATGGGTGAGTGTGGGAAGTGCCTGTGGCACAATGCACCCTGGTATTTGGTGTTTCAAGTGCGTGGAAGGGTGAGACTGAAAGGTTTAAGGTCACACCTAGGGCTGGTTTCTGACTGCAGTATCCATGGGTCATTGCCATGTGTGGTTGGTTGCCCTGGCTGCTGACAAAAGCAATTCTCTGCATCTGCCTTTATGGGTTCCTCTTAAGTCACACACTGTTCCTGTATTCTTCAGGCAAGAAGCAAATGTCTTTGTAGGGTAATCCCTCACATGATCACCCTTGCTGCCCTTTCTGGACTCACCAGGGGCACTGCACAATGTGGCTGGGACCAGCTGTGTGAAGCTGAGCTTCCACTTCCAGTTAACTGAAGTGCAGGCTGCTGCTAAAGGCAGCACCTTTTCCTTCCTCTCTCCTTTTGCAGCACTTCCCTGGTGCCTGGGTTTGGTGCTGTGTCACCAAAGCTGTCACAGAACCAGACTTTGATAAGTACATGAAGCTCCTGAGTGCTTCTTGATCCTGCCTGTATGTGTGCTGTGCTTTCCTGCTGCAGTCAGAGCCTTTGGGCATCCTTCTGGCAGTGCTGGGACACAGGTGGATTCCAGGCTTGCTCCAAAGGCACAGGGAATGGTGGTGCCTGGAGCTGAGGAGAGGGCTGTGGAGCAGCACAGCTGGCAGAGTGTGTGTCCCCTTCAGCTGTCAGGACAATGCTGCTCTGGGGGTCTGTGCTGACAGCACCATCTCCCTGGGCTGGAGCAGGGCCAGCCCCTGGGGAGGCAGGAGGCTGCTGGGCAGGCTGTGCCCATCTGGAGGGGCAGCACTCAGGGCTCTGCAGCAGTGGCTCTGCTCTCTGGTAGCTGGAGTTCCTATTGCTCACCTCTCCTTTCACAGACAGTTTGGCACATTCCTCTTTAATCCTACAAAATCCAGAATTTCCACCAGGAGGCAATGAAGGAAACAGCTTTGTCCTTGGATTTTGAGACCACTTGGATCATTTTTATTGCTTCAAGGTAGAGTGCCTTGTACCTCCTTACAGAGACAGAGTGCTGTATTTGCTGCCACACAAGAGTCACAGTTCATGTTTGTGTTACAGAGCAGGGCCATAAGGACACATGGCTTTGTGTTCATTGCTGGGTACAGCATCACTTGGCTGAGATCTCCTGGAGAGTGACCTCACAGTCTAGGATGGGTAAGATGTCAATGCACATTTCAGTTCTTACTGCCACCTCAGAACCTTTTAAAGGGGCCTTTTGGACACAACAGACTGGAATTTCATCTGTATCATATCTGTTTTATTGGCCACTGTGTTACTAAAGCAGTTGTGTTTGTTTCAACAGAGACAACTCCTGAAGCTGGTGAAGATGGTGCAGAACATCACAGAATATCCTGTGGCATTTGTTGTAAAGCTTTAGTGTGACTTCCACCTGAATGTTCAAACCAGGCTCAGAGTTAGCAGTGCATGCTGCCCTTGTTTTTAGCTGTGTGCTAAAAACAGTTTAAAGATTAAAGTTTGTGGAAAAGTGCTTCAGCTTATACAGTAGCATCAATACAAATGTGTAAGAGGACAATGGCCACAGGGAGTAATAAAGGTTCCTGTTTTGTCCACAATTGTTTTTGTTCTTGTGTGGGAAGACTGAGGAAAAGTCTGGAACTCATCCGTGAATGGTTTGGGCCTGTAGGTCAATTAATTGCATGAGGATAATGGGGCAGTAGAAAGAGTCTCCTCTTTCCAAGGGCTAATTAAGAATTTGACTCCATGATCCTTGTGCCCTCTTCCAGCTCAAGATGTTCTATTGGTCTATGGCTGTGTATTGAACTAAGGAAAATGAAGCCAGTTATGGCCTAAGAGACAAGTGTGACTTTCATGCTGCACATCAGCTCAGGCTGGGTCATGATCTAGGATGTTTTCCACATGTTTTTTTTGACAGCTTGGTGTTTACAATCTGGAAAAGAAAAGGATAAATACTGAAATTTTATAGTGAGATATGTACTATGTCCTGTCCATGGAAACTGGGCCATTATTTGAATAATAAAGCTTTCACTGAGTGACTGGACATGGTAAGAGACATGAAAAGAGATCCCATTTTGCCTCTGAATGGCTTTTTTTTACAGATGGGTGAGGAGGGAGCAGATGGAACATCTTTATCAATGTGGTCTGGTAGACAAACAGTTTCTTATGTGTCACAAATGGGGATATTTTGTTGTCTTTTACTACCCTGCAGGCAGAGGAAAAGAAGAATTACTGGTATGGGGTCCTGTTTCTGATTCTTGGGATTGCTATTTTTGAGTCCTTGGAATGGTGTGAACACCCTGTATTTTTAAGAGTTGCTACAAAGTTGTCAGGTGTGATAATGGGTGATGTGAGAGGTGACACCACTCCAGTCTCTGAGCTCTTGTGCAGGCTGGAAGCAAAAGCCAAATAAAGTCCAGAAATGGAGACCAGAATGGCAGTGGCTACCAGAGGCATGAAAGAAGAAACAAACATTGTGCTTAAGACCAGAAAGGATCATTGTGGTTACCTAATCTGACATCTTGTGCTACCCAGGCCACAGAACGTTGCTCAGTGATTGCTACAGTTAGGATAGATCTGGTTTTTGGTCTGTTTTTAATTAAAATGGCACCCAACTTTAAAAGGATATCCACTTCTAAGGCCTGGAGGGATGAAGAGCCTGCAGTGTTACCAAAAGGTGTCATGCTCAGCTAAGTTGAATTGATCAATTCTCTCTCTTCAGGGTACATTTGAATCCTCACATCATTCTTGTTGCTCTCAGAGTTGTGTGTGCCATCATCAGCTGCTGTCTCACTGTGTACCCCAAAGCAGGCTGCTGGGAACAATCTCATACTTGGTTCTGGATCTGTTCTGGACTAAGAACCAGCACTTGACTGAGTCCAAAGGTGGCCCTTCAGTAGTGGTTGCCCACTTGAAACTAGTTCTGGCTAAAAGAGAAATCCATCCCATTAAATCTGCTAGCTGGATTGATCCCTGTAATGTCCACATTGTTGTGTAAAGTTATTTTTTGTGTTGGAGTAGGGTGCACTGAAGGTTACCAAAATTCTGGGGTAATTTGCTTAGATGTTAGAGACATCAAAGGTTTGTAGTAGGTTTGGTCAACAAGATTTCAGTCAAATTAATTCTATTCCTCCTTTCTCATGCCAGTGATATTTATTTGTTGTTGTTTGCCCTGTTGGGTTTATTCTTGCATGTGCTTGGTCACACATTTGTGTTTCCCCACCCTGTGATGTTGCTTGACAGCTGACAGGGAGGGAGCAGACTCGGAAGGGCTGTTGGCTTTTTTGAGGAGCTTGGGAGTGAGCTCAGTCTCACACTGGGAGCTGTTTGGCTTTGGCTTCTCAGAGTTCTCTGCCTCTCCCCCATGATTTTTGCTCACTTTCACCAGAGGCAGATCTGGAAAGGAGCCAAACAAGTTTAACACCTGCCCAAAATAATTGCAAACAGAACCTTTCCTGCTTACTTTCAGCAGAGGCACTGGGAACATGAGGCATTGTTATAGTTACAATGGGTCAGACATTCACCTTCTCTTTTATTTACATGTCTTGCTTCCTCTGCAGGAACCAGAAGAATCAAAAGTCCTTTTTGTTTGTTTGTTGGTTTTTTCTTCTCCCCTAGAACCTTATTTCATTGGGGATCCATGCAAACTACATCCCCTTAAATGTGAAAAAGGGGATTCATCAGCACTTTGAGCATGTTTTCTGACATAAATAATACATCTGCATGCCCAAAGAGGTGAATTCAGAGCAGTGGAAAGGTTTTCACACTGGAAAGAGATTATACTGTTTAAGAAGCAAGTGTTACTTTCAGACTGTGTAGTCAATTAAGCATAGTACTATCTACAGAAAAGATCCCAAAACAGTTTTCAAACAGAGGTCTCCTTAGGATGAGTGAATAAACCAGGGTACCTCATTTAAATTCCCAAAGTGCTGTTTCAGGAGTTGATTTCAAGAGCAGTGTTCATTTGTTGCAGGTTATCCAGAGGATATTCTACACAGTCAATCGCTCCTGGTCGGGGAAGATCACTCTGACAGAGCTGAGGAAAAGCAACTTCCTGCAGGTACATGGGTGTGTGTGGGAGCAGGAGCCAGGGTGCAGCAGCATCCCCTCCTCTGTGCCTGGGTGCTGAGGGAGCTGCACCTGGCCTGCAGTGGGATGAGCCAGGTGCTCAGGGCCACGAGTCTGCTGGGGCTACTGGAGGAGCTGTGTCTGAGTTGAGGTGAGAAGAGCAGGGACAGGAGTGACCCCAGGGTGCTGGGAGAAGGTCAAGGTGTGACTCTTTTCCTGCTCTGAGGCCACGTGGAGCAGCAGCCTGGCTCCTGGTCCGGACAGCAGGAGGGGAAGCAGGACATGGCATTGCACCCATGTGAAGTGGCTCACAAGCAGCCAAGAAGAGCTGCAGGAGTGCCAAGGGTAGGAGAGCCAATTTCCTGCCTTCTAGGCAGCCCTCAGCCCACTGACAGCTGGTCAGGAATATCTCTGCAATTGCAGGATGAGGCGCCTCAGGAGCTGATCTCCACAGGATAATGGATGGAGCTTAGTTCTTGTTCCAGTGCCTGCAGTGTGTCCTTATGTCAGGATTTGGATCTCTGTTCTCTGTGTATTTTGTCCAAAAGAGCACCAGGTTAAGACTGTCTCAAGCTTCTCATGTCCAGCCCAGCCTAAAGAGCCAGAAAGTCTTGAGCTGAAAGGTGAAGGACTGGCTAAACCAGTGAGATTTCCCTCCTGTGCCCTGTTTGCCCTTCCAGGTGTAGAGTGCTGTCTTCCTCAAACCCCTCAAGTATGAATTCACATTATTTCTCCTTTCAGGCATCATCTCCCCTAGCTGACCCCATCAGCTAATGGAAAAATGAGTGCTCCTTTGAATTGGCTCATGCCAGTCCAAGCCTTGGAATCCTGTTCCTTCCCATCCTCTGTTACAAATAAATCTTCCCAGATTATCCTGCATCTTTATTCACTCATTTTCTCCCTTTAAACATTCTCTCAATTTTTCTCCTTTCATATCTACTCTGCTTTTCATCTCCTGCAGCAGGAAAGTTTAGCTCCTTGCTGCAGGTGTAAATGGCATCTTTGGGTGTGATCTACAAAGGAAAAAAATAGTTATGGCAAAAGCTCCCCAGTGATTGTCATCTGTAAAGGCCCAGTCTGGAGAGGCCAGTGAGTGATGGATCAAAGGTGTTGAGACTTTGGTGTCAGCAAGTCAGAGTAGTGCAGGTCTGGCAATGCCATCCTGTTAGCCCTGCCAGGACACTGAACCTGGTGGATAGCAGGATGTGAGAGTTTTGTTTGGATCCAGTTGGATTCCTTGGATGTGGAGGTGGCTGGAAGTTGATGTTGAAATACCAGTGCCAACACATAACACAGCATCTGTTTTTATGGTTGTGGGCAGCAGGGCCGCTGGGCCTGCCTGCCTGGGGACACCATTCCCTGGGGTAGCTCAGGCTGTGTTTTGCCTGCTCCCTTGGGAGAGGCTGTGAGGGCAGGAGGGGCCAGGTGTGCAGCTCACTGGAGCCATGATTTATTAGACAAGAAGGCTTCTGGTGTCTTGTGGCCTCAGCACCAAGAAGAAAAGTAGGAAGGTGGCACTGGGAAATGTGCAAAAGCTCTCTTGTTGCTAGGAAGGACAGGGAGGTGTAAATGGGAAATGAAACATGGATGTTAGCACTAAATGTTTCCTAGTAAGACATGTCAACAGGTGTTATGGTTGGAAATCTATCTGAGCCTCCCAGTTAAACCAGAATGATTCCTGCAATAGCACAGGGAAGTCAGTGGGATTAGTTTGGGGTCCATCCCTCCTGTCCCAGTCCAGGTGTGAGTCTGGAACAAGAATTGATTTTGCCCTTCAGGAGGCAGACAGGGATGTGTGATGTGTAAAGACATACCTCAGGTCCTGTGGACTTGCTGCTGGAAGTGGCTCTAAGAGTCTCTGGTGCAGGTCAGGATTGTCTCCCAGACCATGGATCCCAGCTGACACAGCAGTTTGTGTTCCTGTTTCTCTGCCTCACTCTTCTCTAGAGCTGAAAATGAGCAAAAATTTTTGACAGGAGTGGCAGAGATGTTTTGCTAAGCAGGATGGCCCAGCTAGGTGCTCTGTAAGGGCCTGCTAAGGAATACAGCAACCACATCTCTTGGGGAAAGGCTGCACTTGGGGTTAGTTCTCAGGGCTGTGTTCACCCAGCTTCCTGAGAAACTGGAGCACTTCAGCTGCTGAGCTGCCTCTTCACCCAACTTCCCACTGTGTTTGTACCCTTTCAGACTCTTGCTCTCTTGGAAGAAGAGGATGACATAAATCAGATCACAGATTACTTCTCCTATGAGCACTTTTATGTCATATACTGCAAATTCTGGGAGCTGGATACTGACCATGACCTTTATATCAGCCAGAAGGACCTGGCTAGGTACAGTGATCAAGGTATGCTGCCTGCAAATGTGGTGAGGGCATTGCTGAAAACATAATGTTCCTACTGAAGACTAAAGCCTGCCTTTAATTTGGTTCATTTGATGCCACAAAAAAAGTTTTAATGTAGCCAGACATCTCTTAAATAAATGTTGCTTTAGAGAAGGACTTGTACAAGCTTAGACACAGGGAACTGCAGGACACACAATTTTCTGCATGAGTAGCTACAGATGGAGCTTCTGTTCCTGTGTGGGTCACTGCCAGGAGGACAGGCTAAAATATTGTCCTGAAACTTGTTTTTTATTTACTGAGGGCTTTGCAGGAACTTTGAAGTAGGGACAAGAAGGATAAGCCTGTGTGAACCTCAGAGATTGTTGAAGTGCAATCCAGTTAAGCATGAGAGGAATCCAGAGTCCAGTGAAGCTTGGGGGATCTCAGCTTGCAGATGAACTCTGGAGAGTATCTCTGCAGTTCAGCATAGAACTTCCTTTCCCAAAGCTATGTTTGTGTTTGAAGGTTCAAGGGCTGTAGATAAATTAATGGAACACAAATCCACAAAGGGCTAAAACACCCATGTGTTCCAAGTGCAGGCATTTATGGGGAGGCCATGGGGTTCTGGGTGAGTGTGGCAGTCACAGGACTCAGGAGTGTTGACCATAGGGCTGGTGGGTGAAGATGGAGCCCCTTTTAACAATGGGAAGGGGCTTTGTGTGGATTCAGCATGAACACCTGATTGTAGTTATTGCTGTGAGCTGTACCTTCATTTTCCTCATGTTTTCCTTGTTTCCAGCTTTGTCAAACAGGATCATTGAGAGGATATTCAGTGGTGCTGTGGTGAGGTAAGAAGTAACACACTGCTTGGGGGAAGAAGGGAAGGCAGTTTCTGTCAGGCTAAGAAATACAAGTTATTCTCAGAAATGCCCCTGATCAGAATGGTTTCCAACAGGGTGCTCCAGCTGGAGCTGCCTGAACATGGAGTGAGATTTCTGGGTAACTTAAGAAAACAAAATAAAAATCCCATAGGATGGGATAACTGGGCATAGCTGGAAGACATGGCACAGGGCTAGCTGGAGAGCACTGCTTTGAAGTCTCTGAAAAGGGATGTGCTGTGGGAGGGGATGTGGCAGATGAGCTTCAGCTCTGCAGTGATAAAAGGCAGCAAATGCTGTACCTGGTGCTGCAGGGTGCAGGGAGTACAGGCTAAATAGGTGACAGTGCCCCATTTTCTCTCACTAATGGTTTGAAAAATATCTTTGATGACATCTTGAGTGTTTAGGGGCCTGGTGATTTTTAATTATTCTTTTTCTGCTATGTCTTCTAGAGGCACTGAAGTTCAAAAGGAAGGGCGCATGAGTTACGCAGATTTTGTGTGGCTCCTGATTTCAGAGGAAGACAAAAGGAGTGCTACAAGGTGAGACTGATTTCTGTGTCTTAGTAAAATCACAGAAATGAGCAAATAAGATATGGAAACTTCTGTGACCTACCACTTTCTAAAAGAGACAGCAGTTCAGGGTCTGGAAGTTGTTAGGAAGAAAACATCTTACTGGTGACCATTGGTCAAATAATTTGCCTTTCTTGAGGAAAACTTGTGTAGAAGCAGAGTTTTCTTGTAATTTTAATGTATTGGTAGTCACCAGTGCCTTTGTTGACCTCATACCATGAGGCACTGGCACTGGGCACTCACACCTGAGGTGCTGGCAGCAGCTGGGCACATCCCTTCACAGGTGGAGTGGGTGTGTAAGGAGGGTTTGTGGGGAAACTTCACTATGGCACTTTGTAAAACTGCCTGTGCCTGGTTTATACAGCCAGGCAGTATGAACTGAGGCAGTATAAACAGAGACTGCTGTGCAGGGGTGATCCAGGTGTGCATGTGAGTGTTAGCACCAGGGATCTTATGCATAACAAGAGAAGAAGAATCCAGAACTGCAGGCTTGGACCCTCCAGAGGAGAGGAGGGGTGTAGAGTGCAGCTGCCTGAGAGCTCTGCCTTGTGTATAAAGGAGCAAATGAGTGCATGCCACAGCTGCCTTGTCCCTCACCAGGTCCCTGCAGTGTCCTGGCCAATAGAGCCAGCTCTTGCTGATGGGTCAGATAGAGACTCCCTGCCCTAGGTGAGCCCCCCTGGGCTGCAGCACAGTGAACACTGGGTACAGGTGAGGCAGGTGGTGAGTGTGGCTGTGCTGCTCACAGCCACCAGGGAGACTAACAGGAGGTGCTTGGAGTGCTGGCCTGTGCCCTGACCCTTCCCAACGGGTCTTGTCATGCCTGGGTTTATGGCAGGCTGTGGCAGAAGAGCCTTGGGGGTGGGTAGGGAGAATGTGCAGTGCTGCAGTGTGTGCTGTGGGGATGTCCCAGAGCAGTGTGCAGTGTCCCTGCTGTGTCCCCAGCATCGAGTACTGGTTCCGCTGCATGGACCTGGACGGGGACGGGGTGCTGTCCATGTACGAGCTGGAATTCTTCTATGAGGAGCAGTGTGAGCGCATGGAGGTGATGGGCATAGAGCCACTGCCCTTCCAGGACCTGCTGTGCCAGATGCTGGACCTGGTTAAGCCAGAGAGGGAAGGTGAGTCCTGTTTAGGCAGAGCTTTCACTCCTTTCATTTGGGGGGGGTTGAGAAGGTAAAGCCATTGTGAAACCCATCTACAGGCAGAAGTTACTGCACATTGGGCCATGATGTTGTGCATCTGGAAGGCTGAAATACTAAAACAAGAGAGCTTGTGAATTAACTGCCTGGGACTGAAGCAACAATTCTTGTGTGCTCCAGCTGTGGGATGTGCTGACAGCCTGCACTGTAAAATTGAACCATCCCCATTCACATGCCTTCATATTTCACATGAATGTCAAAGGCCTCCATATGTATGTGAGATTTAAGCTTAATTAACACACCCATCTATTGAATAATGTTAAAATCCTTGACTGACTTGGGAAGGAATTTTGTGCTTTTGAAGTCTACTGGTGTCACAATTAAAACCTTTGTAAGAACTCAGTAACAACCATGTGGGGTTTTTCTGTAGGAAGAGTAACCTTGCGAGACCTGAAGAGGTGCAGAATGGCTCATGTGTTCTTCAACACCTTCTTCAATTTAGAGAAATATCTGGACAATGAACAGAGGGATCCCTTTGCAGTGCAAAAGGTATAAATCACCTTTATTTCTAAATACAGAAATCTCACACTCATCTTTGGAGTGCTCCAGGATGTAGGGAAAATTCAACTGAATAAAAGAACACTTTTTTCACAAGTACAGCTCATTGATTGTCTCCTAGAAGCCTCTTATCTGTTCAAAGTACAGAAAAATGGAGGGGATGCCAAAACCAGCTTTGGTTCCCTCACAGTTGTTTCCACATAATCTGCAATAGAAACTTTGTGGTTCCATGATTCAAGGCTTAAATACATCCCAAGACAGAACCACTTTGCCTGTTTGCTTAAACAGGATCATCATAAAAGCAGTCAAGTGGGACTGGGGGATAACTTACTATCCCCATCTGTAGTAAGTGGCAGAGGACCAGGTATTTATAGAGGTGATCCTGTAATCTTCTCTAAAACTTGCCCTGACTTGCCCTAACTGTGAAGAGTCCCTCAAAAGATCAGTTACAATGAACCTTTGATGGACAGATTTGAAATCACCAAGTTCTTCTGTCCTGTATGGAGAGCACAAACTGAGCTAGAGCACAGCAAGTGTGTGGTGGTTGCATTTCTGAAGTGGAGCAGATGCAGTTTGTTGGCACCTCAGGTCACATGCTGAGCTTTACAGACCCTGAGAGGTATCTTTTCATAGTCCTGTATATGCAGATGTTAAAACACTCCAGATGGTTGTGACTTTCTCAGTTAAGACAATTTTTGCCTGCCTGTTGCCATCCATTCCTTGCTAGCCCAGATGCTGACTGTGTGATCTCTTTAGGACATGGACAGCGAGAGCCCCGAGCCCTCAGACTGGGACAGGTACGCGGCTGAGGAGTACGAGATCCTGGTGGCCGAGGAGTCTGGGAATGAGCAGCTCCAGGAGGGGTGAGCAGGGGCCTGGCACTGCCCTGGGCACTGCCCTGGGCACACAGGGCTGCCTCCAGCTGGGCACTGCTGGGACATGTGGAGTGGAGAGTGGGGTGAACACTGGGACTGGACTCTGGAGCACATGGGGCCCAGGACAGCTGCTCCTGCAGCAGCAGTGCAGTGGTGTTGGGGGGCAGCCACTTGGATCAGCTGCACACAGCTGGGAAGGGGGAAAAAGGCAAAGCCTATTGCTTTTGGTCAACTTCTAAAAATAGAGATCAAATGACTTTTGCTGGTCTTGGCTGTGTATTGACCATGTCACACTGTCACATATTAGAAGCTGTAGCTCTGTTACATTTATTATACCTAGCAGAGACTTCCTTTAGTCCAACTTTGTCTATTAGTTTGTGCTCTTTGTAAATTATACTTCAATATTTTCATTCATTTACTAAGTTTGTAAGTTTGTTGAGACTTTTTTTTTTTAATTTGGTTTCTTCAATACCTACACTTAGGTTTTCAGCCTTCTGTAAGATTCTGGACAGACACACAAGCGATCTTTAGCCAGTGAATTTAGGGAGAGCAGTTGTTCTAGAACTTCTCTTTGGGCAAGGGCTTCCTGCAGATAAATGGAGACTCAGTCTAATCTTTCTTTAGATTTGTGTCTGTGTTGACATCTTCTTGGGAATATTTCTCTCAATCACCCAAAGAATGCTTCCCCTGTGTTAATCCTGCATGATTCAGGATTGCATCCAGTCTTAAGCAGTATTTATAGAGCCAGTAGAGTATTGAGAAAATTGCATCGTTTTCAGAACTTCCTACAATGGAAATTGCTTGGGATAACAGTAGCACCAACTAATTAGGCACAGAGATTTGCAAAGCTGCTGAGAGCTGTTCCCCTCTCTGCCTGTGTGTCCAAACAGCAACAGGCTGTTCCCTCAGCCCCTCTGAGCTGCCTGGCCTTTCTGTGGCCTTCACAATGGAAGATGAGGTAGGGCAGGGTGGAAGATGAAATTGCTGCATTCCCTGCAACTGCTTTGCAGCACCTGTGTCCTCAACACAGAAAAGAAACAGGAGGCTGCCATTAAAGCTTCATGCAGGACCATGAATTCCCAAAGTCACCAAAACCAGGAGAAGAGTGACAGGTGATGTCAGATTTTTGACATTGGTCTGAAGCAGCTCTGTGTCTTCCTGCAAAGAGCATGTCAGCAACCTGGCTGCCAGCTTTTAGGAGCCCCTGAAAAGCTCTGTAGTCATGGCAGCAGGATTAGATCTCATTTGTGGAGCATAGCAACAGACCACGAAGGAAAAAAGAAAGGAAAAAGAAAAACAAAGAGCTGGATGCCCAGACAAATTTGCCAGAAAGAGCCATTGAGTTTCTGCACATACATTATTTCTGCTGTGGGAGTGGGGACAGAACCAAGACAATTCCTGGTGAGCTCTGGGAGAGACTGGAAGATTTCTGGCTAAGTTAGCTGGCAGAACATGAAATATGGTCCTTGTCTTATGAATACATTTGAAAAACAACCATCATTCAGCAATCACAGATGCATTATGAGTGTGTCCCACTTCTGTGATTAGCCCTGTCCCTGCTTCTCTGGAAGGAAAGTTTCTAAAGCCAGTCAGTCTAAAGCTGGCTGAGGCATGCCCAGGAGAGAGCCCTGCTCCCAGAGTGGGAATCTCATCAAGGCAGTGGATACTCCCAGATCCACAGATACTTCCAGGGTGCTGGACTCCATTGAGAGCTGCACTCACCAATAATAAGAGGAAAGTCTTGTCATGCTCGAGACAGCAATAAAGCATCACATTTCACTGGAAGCCTCAGCTGGTCTGAGCTCTTCTGAGCCAGGCTCTGCTCTCTGACCTGTGTGGGACTCCACAGAGAAAGGCTGTCCCCTGGGGAATGGATACTCCCACTGCTCTCTGGAGGTAGCACCAACAGCTGGCTCTGGCCAGCACAAGCCTTTGATGCAGATACAAGCCTTGGTTTTGCAGCAGGCCAAGCCTTCCCTGCAGGGCAGGGCAGCACTGCTTGGTTCTTATCCCAGAACCCAGCCTCAGGCAGCTGATAGATATGGAAACCATCATTGCCTTCAGGGAAAGAGATCTTTCTACATGGGAAGGAAAAGAAGGAGGGACAGCATCTTTCATCAGCTGCTGGTGGGAAAATGTCCCCTGAGCAACAGGGAGGCAGGGCACAATGCAGAGCATCCTGCTCAGAGTGGAGAGGGGGGACAGAGGCAGAGGATCAGAGGAGGTTGCTTTAGGCAGCTTAGACCATTGTTCTTGTCTCCTTCCAGTTGTCTGATGGCTCAGCTGCTCCACTCCCAGAGCCCAGCAGTGTGAGGAAGGCAAAGGGGCAACAAGGGCATTGTTGAAACACCCAGACCCAAAACGTGTGTTTGCCAGAAGGAAGGGCAAAGAATTCCCTGGAGTAATTTCCCTCCTCTGAACAACCTAGAGTTGCCACAGTTGAGTCTTAAGGAATGGGTATTGAACCTACACAAGGCCATATTTGTTTTCATGGGACTGAAGTTCTGAAACTGGCCTGGGAGGAGAGCAAGGAGTGACTGCCTTTAGTGATAATCTTGTTCAAAAGCATCCCAGAGATGCTCCTTAGCTATAAAGCATTTATTCCAGGATGGGAAAGGCAGGCACTGTTGAGCCTTAAGGAGCAAAGCAGTGCAGTGGAAAAGTGTAGGAATAAAGGACAGTGGGAAGTCCCTTTGGAAGCAGACATGAGAGGGTTTAGTGCAGAAGCAAAAGACACCTGAAGAAAAAGATTATAGTAGAGCTCCAGCTGCACATTCCCCTGGTGCCTGTGCAATGCAGGGAAGAAGTCATGTTCCATTTGTAGGAGAGAAAGGGACAAGGCTAACAGAAGGTGGTAGAATTGGAGGAAAAGGAGATACAAAAGGAACATTCTAAGAACAGCATTCAAATGGAAATACAAAGTTTTCTTCAGCTGCATCTTTTAAAGCAAGGAGAGATTAGAGAAGCTGAGGCACCTGCAAACATTCCCAATCCATTCCTGATGGGAGAGGCAGGGCAACACAGCCCCCACAGGCACCATTGAGGCAAGAAGGATACAAATTGCACATATTTTGGCAACCTTGCACACGTGGTCAGAAGAGGTTTGGTGCAGGATCCAGACCAGACCATTGTTTCTCTTCTCCTACTTATGCAGGATTCCAGAAGGTGGCAGAATTACTAAGCAGGTGCTTTCCTTATGGAAGGGAGGACAGTGTTCTCCAGGAAGGTCTGGGCTGGTCTCCCTGCAGACCCTGACAGCCTCCCAAGGGTTTGCTGTGTCTGCATATGGGTCAGCCAAGGAAAAAACACCACAGGAAGGGGTGGACCATTCCTTCCTGGCACATCCATGCTGGGCTATCAAAGGAGTTCACCTTTTTGCAGCCCAGTTTACCATTGAACATGAGAGCCATTCCTGTCCTGGCCATTGGAGCACCTGCTCCAGCATTTCCTTTGTGAGCAACCTTGCTTTAGAACAAAAGGAAGAACTTTAATTTTTTGGGAGCCCTGCAAAACTAACCCATAGTATGCTGTGACTGAAGGGAAACCCTCTTAAAAACATCATTTCTTGGGACTAGGAATGGGCTGAGAGCCCCAGAGCCAGAGCCTGTGCTGCAGAGCATGGAATCCAGCCAGCCTGGATAGTGTAGCTGGAGCTGGGAATTCCCAGCAAACCTCCTTGGACCATAAATGCTCAATCCTGGGTATCAAACTTCCAGCTGAGGGAGAGAGGAACATGAAAGTGTGGCCACAATTGTTCTGTGTCTGTCAAAACACACCTCAGCCAGAAGATGAACCAGGTGTTTCTGAGCCAAGGCTCCTCTGGGGCTGTGGCTGGATGAATTTATTTCTACACTGAACTACTGAGGCTCTGGAAGTTCCTGACAATTGTTACTGAAGCTGGATTCAGATTTTCTAGTGCTGAGCACCAGTGAGATGAGGCTGGATGGGAGCACAGATCCATGGCTGCTGTCAGAGTTCTGGTGACTCCCACCCTCTTCCCCATGCCTCAGGAATCTCCTCCTCAAGGTTCACCTCTCCCATGCTCCTGCCTTTTAGCCAGCTGACTTAGTAGCCACTGAAATAACAGCCTGGAAAACCAAAATACAGCTTTTAAAGACACACCTTTTGTCTTTGCAGATCATGTGAAGATGACTATGACACAGATGAAGTCTTACCTCCCCCTGAAACTGGAGAAAAGTCAGACAAGCTAATTATCTCAGATCTCTGAGCTTAGAGAAGTGGAAGACAGCCCATGTCTTTCAAACTGGATAGCATTCAGTCCCAAGGCACTTGGGGGTTTTCCTTAAATCTGTCATTGGAACAATGTGCTTTATTTTGTACACTGAAACTTGAGACCCCTTTTTGTCTTCCTGTGTAATTGCAATAAGGTAATTTCTATGAAAAGGCTTTTTACAATGTGTTATCATGCACACTCCTGAAAATGGTGATTGCACCTTGTTTCATTTCTATATAAATTCTGTTATGTCCCCAGATGTGCAATAAATGCCAGCATCTAATGATTACCTGTAACAGCTGGATGCAACATCTATAGTGGTTGTTTCTCAGTTCTGTCCTGTGCCACTCTGTCCCCTTGGCTTTATACCAGGAGTGACAAAAGAGCTGCCAAATTAACTTAAATGTGTGTCTAGAAATCTTTTAGAACACAGGTCACTGTGAAGTTCTTTTTTTCCTTCCTGTCCTGGAAACAAAAGGAATGTGCCTGCACAGGGGGAGAGTGAAATCCCTTTGTGCTTTGTCCCTGGGCTGTTTCACTGCTGTGGATCTGTGAGCAGTTTCAGCACTACACCACATCATCTTCTCCTGGAATCTGAGACAGAGTTACCTGTTCTAGTCCTGTGTCCCCTCCTGTGCTGACCTGCCTCTAGCCAGAGCTTTGTCTGTGTAGATTTCTACTTTGTGGAAGTATTTTGCAGAGTATTTCCAGCAAATACAGCTCTCTGCTGTTCAGCTGCTGCGCCTGATGTGCACCACTTCCGTCCACTCCTGTGTTCTCCTCCTCTCCTGTAGCCTCCTTGAACCTGTAGCCAAGAGACTAAGCTGAGATAATGAAGAAAAAAACCAACCCCCTCTTTTAACTAGTAAAGGCATTAGTCTGTATTATTGCCAAAATTAATTTTTCTCCCAGGCTCAGGGAGGAAATGCTGCAACTAATGAATTCTTGCTTTAAGTGCAAAATTAAACCAACTTTCCCCTTAGAATCACAAGTGATATCATCACTGCTGCTGCAGCTGGCTCTCCTGGCCAGCAGGAACTGTGGTTCAGCACAGGGGTGATTAGAACAAATTCTTCATTTTAGCCCTCATAATATGTACAAGCAGTTCTGGGCTTTACCTTCTCAGTGGGACAGGTCTGAGCCCTCCCAGCTGTGCCCAGTCTCTAACGCTGGGTTGCTGGGTGTGCCCTGTATCTCCTGGAGAGCCTCGGGCTGTGCCTCCTGCTGGAATTCCTGGGAGCTGCCTGCCCCTGTTCCCAGCAGGCTCCTGCTGCTCTCCCTGGGGCAGAGCAGCCCGGGCACTGCAGGACTGTGTCCCTACGGACAGGAGGGGACTGCATCCCTTCGGTACCTGCAGGGGTCACTGTCCAAGTGAGGAACGGGCTGATCCCTCACTCCAGTGCACTCTGGGCTTTTCAGGAGCCTCTGAAGCCCAGGCCTGGCTGCCCCTGCCCAGGGGGATGTGCTGCTGCCTCCCTGGGGGCAGAACTCTCCCACCATCAAACTCGGGAAGTGAGAAAAGGTTTCAGCTGAACTGAGCAGATGCATACACACCCCCGGATCCTGGACTTGGTATTTGGGAAACTTCTGGATGCCCACACTGTTAGCAAAGGCTCTGCCAGGTGACCTGCATCCCATAGTTACAGATGAAGCAGGGAGCACCCTGCCCAAACCAGGACAAGCCCCTGGAATGCAGCAAGCACACAGCATGTCTGGATCCCAGCTCCATCACTGCCATAGCCTCAAAGGGAAAACCTTCCCTGGAGTGATTCCACAACTGCCCAAATGCAGAACTACCAAGGAACTGACTGCAGGAATGGACACAGGATCGAGGTCCCACAGCTGCTGCTTGGAACCAGCTCCAGCCACGTTTTCCTGAGAGGAACCTGAGCACAGCAGGAATTCACCTTTCCCTCACTGCCATGGTCCAGAGGGCCCTTTCAGTTTGATGTCCTTTTACATCTCTCCAAGGACTAAGATTCCTCAAAAAGAACAAGAACCTGACCCCATTCTGGGCTGAAATGGAACCCTCATGGTGCCCCAGCAGCAGCAGCACTGCAATGGCTTGTTTGTCATTCTGGAAAGCCTCAGTCACCCACCACGTCAGGGTCTTTATTCAGGGCTTTTTGCAGAGGGCCTTTAATTCAACCCATCCCTGAATTCAGGCTCACACCTCACACCACACCAGCCTGAACTGATGCCTTTCTTTGCAGAAGTCAGAACCCAGAGTCTGGTGAAACTCACCAGCTGCCTTCCAAAGGTTTGGCTCAATAAATGGAGACAGGAAGCTGAGAGCTGCTCTGCTGAGCCCAAACCCAGCCCCTCTCTGCTACAGACAGACATCCAGTACTGCTACAACAACATAGACCCAATCCATGCTTTCTGGTAGGTCAACACAAGCTAATCCAAAAAAACCCTCCAATTTACAGCAAATATTTTGCATTATGTGTGAATAGAAGGACAAGCTGTAGAAGCCACTGTTACTGTGGTGGCAATGCAGAATCTGTAGTAATATTCCAGGAATGGAAATCCATTGTCTGTCCCTAAAGTACTTGAAAATAACCACAATTCAGCAGGCACAAGTGCATTAACAGAGGAGGTGTTCTACACCCCAGCCCTGTCCCCAGCTGCTCTGGATGGAAGGTTTGTAACTCTGCAGCATTTAAGTGAGGTAAATTTCCTGTCCTACTTCTTTGCTTTTTTCTGAGATAGTCAAGGGTGCTTGTGTCCAGCCAGCAGAGCTGCTCAGCTGCAGTGAAGCAGCCCCAGAATTCCTGCCCAAAAGATTTGCAGGAGTCCCTTGGCTCTGGCTCTGCCTCCTGACTCCATGTCAGTGCCACTTCAGGTGCTGCATCCTGGGAAAGTTTCATCCTGCATTGTTCAGTGCACATCCAGCTCACACTGAAGGCTTTTTAGGAAAAAGCCTACTACAAGTAGTCAGAAAAGTGAGTAAAATTCAGTTTTGCATGATAAAAATAGGATTGTGCTTATTTGTTCTCTCTAGTTTGCCTTTGTCTAGCAAAATGAAGCCCTGTGTTCTCACAAACCCCTTGTTTTTTACTGTTGTATCACAAACAGTAATACAACTGTTTGGGATTGTATTGTATCATAAATATTTTCTCTCTGCAGTACTGAGGTGGGAGGTATGGCTCAATATTACTGCTGGAATGGTACTGGTTGGATTTTTTCTCAGTAGTGCTTGCTGCATCCCAGTTTTGGCAGTGAACCCTGGGCACTGCTCCAGCTCCCCTCCTGCCTCTGAGGGGCAAGTGCTGCAGAACAGACATGGGCAGCAGAAGAGGGATTCCAAAGCCTTCCTGCTCTCCTGAACCAAGGATTTAATGAAGCTGACTCAGGACACTCTAACCAAGGTACTGGGCTTAGTTTCTAAAACAAAACAGTCCTGAAAGATCACTGAACTAGCACTGTAACAGTATGGATTTGGAGGCTCTAGATCAGTATCTTAGCTCTATGCAAACAAAACTGAACCTCAGTGATGAGCACGAGCTACTGTAAGAAAAACATAAACAGAGCTTCCCCGTGTGCTCATCTTCTCACTGTATCACTGGGTGAGGGGGTTAGAAACTGAATATTTAATAATAATAATAAAGGTTCTCATACTTTGTAAAAGTAGATTTGGATACATTTTGTGGTGGCATGGTTTGATCTTTGTATTTTTACTTTATATTTTCTTCTTTTTTGGCAAATAAAATACTTTTGAATTTAAAAAGGAAAACCTGTCTTGGTGGTGGGGTAGAGTGTTACTGCTCACTTCATCTCCAGGTGCTGTGCCAAACCCTCCTTCCCTGCTGTGGTGAGTTCACACCACCCAGGTACCTGCAAGCAAATGCCTTCCAAAGCCAAAATTCCAGGCTTTCTTCTCAAAAATACTGGGATAAAGCAATCTGACCACTTACCTCACTCATATCTGTGGCCTCAATGTGGAGCACTGTCCCTGTGATGACTTAACAAAACATCCAACTCTCATTTCAACCTGTCCAAAAAAAAAAAAAAGAGATATCTCATGGATCTTTTGCAAGTGGAATGAACAAGAAAAAATAAAGAAGAAAGAAATGTAAAGAAAGGGAAAACTAGTAATGCCTTTTCTAATTTACCTATATGCAAATGCTCAAGCAGAGTTTGTGCAGTGTGTTGTTCTTGTATTGTTTCACCAAGGAGTGCCTAAATGTGTCTATAGAACAGCCACCTTTTGGTGAGTTTCTTTAGGGTATCAAAAGCACTTCAACTTCTAAACTTAAATAGTTAAGACCAAAGATCTGCCTGTGATATTCTTGGTAGTACTGGAAGCAGCATCACCTACCTTTCAGAGGGGATTTCCTCAGCTGTGCCACACACTTGGAATGATCCTTTACAAGGGTGCTTGTTTGCATCCTTTCAGTTCTCCAATTTAGCAATCAAAAATCCTTTTCTAACTGATTTGCATAGAATTTAAATAAGAATTATCTGGGGAGGGGGTGCTTCTTGCATGCAGTAAGAAATGTTTCTGTGCTGGGTCTCACTAGAACCTCTGCACCACCCCTGTGCCACAGCTGTGGGATCTGTTCCTTGAAGCTCTGGGAGTTTCACAGAGGGAGCAGCTCCCTGCTGTGCCAGAAGTACCTGCCTTGGCAAACAGGATTTTCAGGTTTATTCTCTGTAACTCTGCAGGTTCTTCTGACACCACCGAATGCTGGGGCTGGCAGGGGCAGTCTCAGGCTGTGCTGAAGGCACCAAGGGCAGCTGGTCCCTGGTAAAGTTTTCAGCTCCCATGCAAGGGAAGAACATCTGCAGGGAGAGGCTGCTGTGCCCCAGTGCCCCTGGCTCTGCACGGTGCTCAGACAAGGCAGGGAGGGAGAACAGCTCCTGCTGGGAGAGCCACAAGGTAACACATCCAGTGGGTAATGTTTTGTCTCCCCCCTCCTCTGGGATTTAATCCCAGACCCTGGTTTAATGTAGGATTGTTACAGTTGGAAAAGACCCCCATGATCACCAAATCCAACCTTTGAGAGCTCCACCCTGCACTCTAAGCTCTGTCACCAATGGCCACATTGACTTGTGTGTCTGAACGTTTTTTAACATGTCCTAATGCGTGATACCTGGGAAGAGCCTTTCCATTCCACTGGGAAGCACAGAGGGCTTCTCCTCCTTGTTCAGAACTATGTTCAGATCTGGTCAGAACCACTGGATTTTGTACTACACGTGACCAAAAACTGCTTTTTCTTTTTGACTCTGCTCTACAAATTACAGGGTTTTAATAAAGTTTGGCACGTAATCCCTGCCTTCAAGGGGATTGGGAAGAAAACTGGAATACCACACACTTCCTCTATAAGAAATGCCCAAGCAGCTCCCTGTGTGCTAATGCTGAGAACAGCTCCCCAGATCCAAAGCCTTGCAGGAGGAACACCGGGAATTCCGGGCAGCCCGGCTGGGGCCAGGCTGGAGCTCAAATAATCACTGAGCTGCGCCCACCAGTGACTCTCCAGCTCCTGGGGATGGGCAGCAGGGACAAGTCCCTCTTGGGCTGTGCTGGACTGCTTCTCACCCTGCTCTCTGCCCAAGCCAAGGCAGGAAGGCCCCAAACCAGGAAGCTGCTGTGGAAGGAATGCTTTCCCAACTGGAGCTGCTGGAATTCCTGTCAGCACCAAGACGATCCTTTCCACTGCTCAGCTCACAAACAACTAGCCAGGAGGGCAAGGAAACCAAACCAAGCCAACCCTAATTTAAACAATTAGAGAATTAATCATCAACACACTAAGTAATATTTAGACAGTGAGTTCAACATATGCCACACTGATGCCTTCAGCAGTTGCCAAATAGAATTAGAAAACTAACATTTATTAAATCAATTTGAATTTTAATATACATTTCAAGAATGTGGCAGCATAAAAGGAAATGTTTTTAGAAACAACCTGAATCTACCATTTGCAGTTTTACATTAACCATCAGGGCTCTCCTGTCGGCGTTCCGAAACACTCTTGACCTAAGTTCTTCAACTTTTGGTACCACATTGAATGCAGCAGTGAGATAGTAAAGATTCCAAATACTCCCACGTTTCTGGAGCAAAGGTACTTTGTATTTAATTTCATGAAAGTCCTAAAAATGTACCATCAACAATCTCAGCAAAACTCTGAACAGCTCTGCAAAAGCATTCCGACACAACCCGTGCTGTGCAGCCACTCCCAGACTCCGGGTCGCTACTTCGCTTACACGTAGTGGACTAATAAACAGATTTACATTAGTAGGTCACGATCAAACCACCAAATTAGAGACTGGTAGGATCCCTCTGGGTCAACACAAAAATCACATACAAGTTTAACTAAATACATTTTAATAGGACATCGTTAAATCTCATGAGGGCTAAAAAACACAGATCTTAGGTACTTGGGTTGGCAAATAAAGACAAGAATACTAAGAAGCATTTTCCACCATTTACTCATTATCAAAAATATTTTTCAACTCTTCTTGCAAAACAAAAACAAAAAAGTACAGACTGGACACGTACATCACATTTTTCTTCCTATGGCTTTAACCCCCCACCCTGCCCACCCCACAAAAAAGACGGGGGGAGAAACAAACCAAAACCAACAAAAAGCTCTGACCACATTCACAGAAAATGACACCATGGTACACTACAAAACAAAAGGAGGTGCCATTTTTGTCCAAAGGGTTTTGCTCATTTCTCGGTGAGGAACCGTCATTGTACGTGCTTTGTGCCAAATCAAAGCACACCCAGCGCCGGGCCGGAAAGCACCGCGGGGGCTGTGCCTGAGGAAAAGGGGAGATGGAAGCAGGAAAGGAACTAAAAAATCCACACACTATTTAACATGCTGCTGAAACAGGAATGGCCTTTAAAATCAGACAGTAATGTTTGTGTTCGAATCAGCCCATGTTTGGGTTGTGCTCTATCATTCCAAGAGGAGAATTTCTACTTTCACAAAGCAATCTCAACATTTTAGGCTTCCAACAAAGCCCTGAAGGCACAACTGAATCTTGTGCCTGCACTTTTATTTATGGATTGCGCTGAAATCAACCATTTTTGCACAAAGCTGAATTCCTCAGAGGAATTCTTTCACTGTAACACTTTTCCAGATAAGCTCAACAACTTTGTGTTATTTTTCTATTTTCGAGCCTTTTGGCCCAGGTTGAAAAGCAATGACCTTCAAAAGCTGCTTTCAACATTTTAGCAAAAAGTGAGATAGGTTTAGGGTGGAGTGAGTTATAGATAGCTTATTCTGTTTAGCAAACACCCCAAAAATTTGACCTTTGATAGCCCTCGATCCTGTGCCCTGGCTGGGAGGTGCCTGTCAGCGGGAACTCCCCTCCGTGGGAGGGGTCCTGGCTCTGTTACAAACCTGATCAAACCCCCCCAGTGGTGATAAGTGCTGCAGCATCTCCCTGTAGCCCTGGCACTGACCAGCACCAGAGGGGGGAAAATCAGCCAAGGACTTCCTGTAACCCACAAAACCCCTTCTCTTCCCTAGAAGCAACAGCAGTGAAACAGCAGGAACTTGGGAAAGGGAGAGGATGGTGCTAACAGAACTCGAGCCTTTGAAGGCTACCAGTGATGTTCTGCCCCAGCCCAGCCCCTCAGTGACTTGTCATGCACAGGGGGCTGGCACAGAGGGGCAACTGAACAGGGATGTGACCCGTGAAGTGTCAGGAAGACAAACCCCAAGGATGATGATGTCATTACCAGGACAGGGTATCCAAGCTGGAGCTCAACCTTTGCATCCACCCGACCCTCCTGAACCTTGCCTGCAGCCTGAGATGCCTTTTGGCCTGCCAGCTCAGTATATTTATTAATCTTTTTTAACTGTATGCTGTTCAGTAGAGGGCACAACCAATTCTCACAATCACCACTACCTACCCTTTCTGGAGTGTATCCCCCAGCTCGTGCTGCCTTTCCCACAGGAATGTCAGGTCATTTCCTGCTCATGGTGACTGTAACCCATCAAATAATTATTTCTCTACACCATCATCTAGCACAGTTGAGATGCACTATCTGGATGCTACACTGAAGCCAAAGCTTTGACTGAGCACAAAGCATGAGCAAGTACAATGAGGTCAATATATTCCTTGTCAAAAGATCTTGTGATAAAATCATTTACATCAGCAATCCATCTCAAACTATGAGGTGCTGTAAGAACTAAAAACAGTTTTAGGGTAACTCCTCCATTATCTGCAACTATTTCCCAGACACTAATACACAGAACATAGCAATGAAAAACACTTGATACAAGTGATCTAAACGCAGGAGCTCCAGCAAGTTAAACAGAACCATAGCTGCCTTAAACCTGTAGCAGTTCCCCTACGGATGGCAGGGAAAAGAAAGAAAGGTTTAACAGTCATATCTCATGTCTATAGCTTCATCCAAACTTTTCTCATCGTGTGTACTGGCAGCTAAAAACGTCGTTACTGGTGACCCTGTCACATTGATTACACTGGTGCTTGTGCTGGCATTGCGCACGGCAATGCTTGTCACATTAATGCCCAAAGTAAGCCGAGTCTGCTCCAAGGCCTTTTCTGGCACTGCAAAGGCCTCCAGCTTCTTCTCCCCGTTAGCCATGTAGGAGTTTTGGCAGCCACGGCATATGCAGTCAAGGCAGGCTTTGCGGTTAGAGTAGCAAGGGCAGCGTTGGCCACGGCATGTAAGAACACTTGGATTTTGGGTGGCACGACCACATTTACACCCTTTCTTTTCTTGTGGCTTTTTATACACAGTTTTCGTTGGGCTTCCTGGCATAACGTTACTGCTGGGAACTTTCTCTTTTGCCTTGTCTTTTGTTTTCAGCACCCCCGGTTTGGCTTTCGGGTGGGATTTCTTAGGGGCGTGTTCTAAGTTCTTTTTCACGCTTTTGTTAGACAGGAGCACAGTTTTACTGATTTTGGGAGTAGTTCCTCCATTGGGTACAGTCGCAATAGGCTGCAAAGACATTTTATTTTCCTGTTTGACCGTCACGGGAGCCGACGCTCCCAGCGTGGGGCCGCAGATGATGCTGGAGATGGGCAGAGGCTGAACCTTCTCGCTGTCGCTTTCGGAGCGAGAGCGCTTCCTGTTCAGCTTCACCACCTTGGGCGTGGCTGCCGTGCAGGAGAGCCCGTGAGGAGAAGCATCTGTGGCCATGAAAATGTTATGGCTGAGGGGAGGGGGGGAGAGCTGCAGGAAGGGGCCGTTGGCCATGTTGGCCTCCAAGGCGGGCTGCAGGTTGGAGTCGCACACCTCGCCGCTGGACACGGTCTCCAGGCTGCGCAGCACCTCCTCGACGCTGAGCAGCAGCGACCCGCCTGGCTTGATGTCCTCGCTGAAGCCGCAGATGTCGATGCCCGCGGGGCACAGGTCGCTGGTGGCCACGGTGTCACACACGGGCTGCAGGCCGCCGGGGATGTCCTCGGTTTTGATGTAATCCCCGGTGCTGCACACGTCGATGGCGCTGGCGTGCTCGGGAGAGGGGATGCTGACGCCCAGCTTCTCCACCGCCAGCCCGTTGCAGGGGGGCAGCCCGTTGATGACAGAGCCCCGCAGGTCCAGGCTGGGGGCGCTCTCGGGCAGCGCCGTGAACCCCCCGGGCGCGTCCGTCGCCAGCTCCGACGTGGAAGGGACTGGGGAGTGCGTCAGACACAGAGCCAGGGCTGCATCCGAGGACTTCTCGGTGTCCTCGTGCAGCGGCGCCCCATCCTTGAGCAGAGCCAGCAGGTCTGCAGAGCAATCCACGGCCTGGATGATGTCCCGCGCCAGCGGCGTCTGCGTGATGTACTCGCACAGCTTCTTGTAGCAGTTCACCAGGATGCTCAGCTGCTTGTTCTCCTCAAACTGCTCGTAGTCCTTGCACCAGCTACACGAGGGCTTCATCATCATCTTCTTGCCTTTGCACGTTTTGCAGACATAATGCTGACAATTGGAGTTGGTAGGAGCAATAGGGTCTTGTAGCAAATTTCCTATGAGAAAAAGGAAAAGGAAGATTACAATGGACTTAAGGCAGGTTTCTGAGACATTACTGGATGAACTTTCTTGTACTATCAAAAAAAGTTACTCAAAAAGTTGAGTTATTCACAAGAAAACATCCCATCCAAACAACTGCCCGTACAAATTCCCACAGCTGCCAACCTGGTTTTAAAACATTAGATAAAATTAGAAGAAAACCATCACACCATAACTTGAGTGCTTCAGCCTTTAGAAACATTCTCAACTACAACACTAATGATCACCTTCTCCCCTTCAGCTTTGTCCAAGGAAACTTACAGAACACACAAGATTTCTATGAATTTACCAAAAGTGAAATAATAAACTTCCATGATAACTTACTGCAAAGATTTTAATGGAATTAGTAAAAACAAATGGGAACAGAGCAGAGAGAGGGAAAACTCTGAAAGGAATGTAAAAATTATGAAATATCTACCTCTAAACAGAAGAAGACACAGCAGATCTTGTTATTTTTCATTTAGCATTTAGTGAAGCCATCAGAGTAAAGAATTTTTTTCTCAATATTTTACTGTTTAGAATGAAAAAATAATAAAAATCAGCTACTAAAGGAATCCATACACCCCTGACAGCCCAGAAAGTTTCAGGCCCCCAGCACTGACGGTCTGGAAGGTTTTGTCTGCAGATCCCCAAAACTGTAAAAACCTGGAAGAATGGTTTTGGTTTTCCTTAAGAACAACTCAAATATTACCTAAAGATAAAATATGAAAGAACAAGTGAAACTAAATTCTGTATAGAAACAATCCAACTAGTTCCTATATCCAGAAAGTGACAGCATTGCTTTGCTATTTCCAGGCAGCTCTAGGCCAGAAAGATATTCCATCTCCTAAATTAAATTGCAGAGTATCTATAGTCATCCCCAGCAACAGGGCTCCCTCCCCTCCCAGCAGCACATTCTCAGCTCTGATCAGATCTTTCTCTCGTAAGGAGCCTCTGCTGGATGAGTTACAGCCATCAGGGAATTCCCACCCAGCTTTTCCAAAGTGAAAACAATCTGCTGCAACAAGTGAATAAAATTAAACAACTTGGGAAGAGGAAGCAAAGTGCATGTATCAAATCAGACTGGGATAAAAACCCCAAAATATCAAAGATAATTTCTCTCATTGCTCACTTCTCTGATCCCTTTTCCCTGCATTCCCTGATCTCTCTTTGGGAAGGGGCGGCTCCCAGCACCTGAGCCATCATTCAGTGGGTGTGGCTTGATGTAAACTGGGTTTTGAGCAACAAATCACAAGAGTCAGTGCTCAGGTTGGCATTACACAGTAATTTTTAACAAATGGAGAGAAATCCAGTTGTTCAGCAATCTGGCAGGTGGCACAGAATGAGCCCTGCCCTGTGTCACAGTGTAACAAGGCCCCACCAGGAGAAGACAAACACTCCTCACATCAAGCTGGGAAGGTTTAAAGCCAACAGACAGAACATGAAGTCTCACAGTCCAACCTGCAGGGGAAATTATTGGGTTTTTTCCCAAGTTCCCTTGACATGACACAATATAAACAACACAGGCAGAGGTGGCCATTGTGGTCCTAAGATGGAACTTGATTTCAGGAGAAAAGTTCCCTGAAGAGAACAAAACCAAAACTTTAAATCCCACCATCTCCTCAAAGAAGCTCTGTCCTTCAGCAGAGAGCAATGGTCCAGCCCCCTGGATCCTGAGTCCAACAGGACCAGCAGGAGCTGTGCCCTGGCCAGTGCAGACACTTCAGAGCCTTGGAACTACAGTGCTCCCAGGGCCAAAAGCCACCAGTATTAATTAATTCCCAATTAATTAATGACACAAAGCGGCTGGGAGCACTCCTCATCCACCAGTAGCCTCTCTTGGCTCCTTAGGACAATAAGATTGAGTTATTACGCTTTGCAGAGCTAAAATACTTCAGAGATGGCACCAAATAACAAGATACCACCTTAACTTTTAATTAGATTTTTAAAAAAGGCATCACCAACAGTGTGTTTTATTTCTCCCAAAATAAATTTGGCTGTAACTCCTGAATAAGTACAAATGCTAAAAGAAGATACAGGAAAATTTAAATTTCTGGAGGCTTTGAGGGAAAAACCAGACGGACTGACAAGACAAAACACTTCACATGCTCTCGCTGCCAGGAAGAACAGAGCAAGTTCTACTCCCAGTAAATGCCAGACAACCTACACTGGAGAGACATTAGGAATTGCCTGAGCTGTGGGAATATTTTCTGTTTCAACTCATCTCATTGAATATTCATTCTTCAAAGTTTCTCTCTTGTATGGATTCTGTGGCACTATCACTCTTCTCAGTCTTAATACTGACAGGTTTAAAAACAAATGTCAACCATGAGATGCTAATTTCCCATAAAATTAAGTTTCAGTACTTGTAATACTCAGGGAGGGGCACTAAGTCAGCAGCACTGTCCCACAAACAGCAGCTGAGCCTTTTTGGAACCTCGAGGTTTTGCAAGGCCAAGATCTCACTTCTGCCTGGTGGCCATCAGTGCTGCCTCTCTCTAGAAATTTTAAAATTTTATAGATCTCCAAGATATAAATATTGTGGGCCCTGAAGTTAGTATTTTTCCATGCTTATAATTTAGTATTTATCTAAGCTAAATGTAATTTTTCATTTTATTGTGCAGCCACTCACCTGCATTAGACCCTTCCACAATCACTCACTTCAGACCTTCAGTTTCACAGCCCTGTGTGGCCTGGTGCTACTGAACCCTGCTCTGTCCTTACTCACTCTCTTTTCTAAGGGGTTTATCAATACACCAAAAGCAAAACTGTGTTCATACAAAGCCTCCAATACAAGACTTTCCTTCCACATCAGCTCTTAACTATCCTGATTTCAGGAAGGTTGACTAAATACATTCCTTAATATCAGCACTTACAATTAATGAGGAGTATATACAGAGGAAAAACTTTTAATATATTATTTACCAAACATCCCAGCTGATCTGGAAAGGCTGTCCCGGGGGCTGGAGGGAGGTCACTTAAAACACATGGAATACTTCCTGCTGTGGTCCTTAATGAGCATTATTTCACAGCTGCAGGGACAAGGGGAAGCATCTGCAAATTGTGTCTCTGAGACCAAAGGGAGGAGAAGAATTGGGAATCAAAACAATTGTTAAGGTGTCTGTATCTAGCAAATACTCTCCTAACGGATGAAATTCACTGTGAAGAAAGGCTTGAACAGGTACCTCCAGCTATTCTCAACTATCCTCAGCAAAGGCAGGAAAGGGCTAAACACAACTATCTAATTTAGGGTCCTTGGAAATGCTTCTGGAACATTAATCACTAAAAATTATCTTGGCTTTTCCAACAACCCAAAGTCTTAAGAATTATTTCATTATTTAATCTTAATTTCATGAAGTAAAATAGAAAAAAATAAGTCAAATTTTTTTTACAAATACAAATTTATCCCTGGGGTTGATCCTGGCTGCACTGGGATGACCAGAAGCCCTCTGGTGCTCAGCCAGCACTGGGGCAGCCATGGCACACAGGAGAGGGCAGCTCACCCACCAACCTGTGCCCATCAAACAGCACAGGGAGCACCAGATTATTTATAAACCACAGCTACAGAAACAGAAATGCTGAGCCTCTACCAAGCTCTGAGGAGCAGGAAGCTCTACCCATCTGAGGTTTCACACACAGACTTCTACATGCCAAGGACCCCGAAGTCATAGCCACAGCTGGAGCTTTGACAGCTGCACTGCTGTACTGTCAGTCTTTTCATTTTGGGATTAAACATCATCTGATTGTTTCTACTGAAATAATCAGCAACAGCCAGAAAGCTCCAACAACTTGTCCAAGCTTCAGAGCTGAGGAGCACCTGAAGGACAGGAGCTGGATCTCAGAGTGTGACACCACTGCTCAGGGGTTGTCTCAGCCACCCCTCTCCTGCAGCTCCAGGGCTGCAGCTGCAGCACAGTGGGAAGGCAAACCCCTGCTCTTCCCTGAACTGCTCCCTGCCACCCCACACAGCATCTTCTCACCCAAGAAATGATCAGCTGGAGCCCACTGAAGAATGAGCAGCAGCTCAACGAGGCTTTAAGGCAAAACACAACAGAAAATACCCTCAAAGCAGCGTTTCCCGAGTTGGATAAACCCCCTAAAAGCTCTATTTGCAAAACTATCTGACGACAGACAGGCAGGCATATGATGAGCAGCAAAAAGGTCTGTCAGCCATCTGCAGAGGAATACAACAAATGTGTGGGATCTGTTTTAGAGGGGTGGGAGATCTGGGTACTTCCTAGAAAACAAGAAAACTGAATACACTCTGACTCACAGAGATTAGTGCATGGACATGACAGCAGAGAAAGGTCTCACAGACCCCAAGCACTAACCCACCCCAATTCCAGACCCACACTCAGGGTGGGCTGGACCATGTTGGATTTGATGAATTTCACCAAAACTGCACCAAAGTCAGGAGACAGATTCCCCAGACTGATGTCTGTCCCACCCCTGCCCTAGCAGCTGTCTCAGGTAGTAAAATGTTGGGCAGCTCCTCTCAGTGAAACCTGCTGGATGCCCTGTCCCCAGGTGTCCCACCCAAAGCATGTTCCCAAAATGTGCTCTGAGACACGACCACATCTCTGCAACATTCCAGGGGCACAGCTCTGAACCCACAGCTGCAGAACATGGAACAGAGTAAGGGCAGTTCACAACAACAGCACTACAGATGTGTGATCCTTCCATGGGCTTTGACACGAGGCTCTGTACAGAGAAATTGTTCAATTCAGCCAAAAAGAAGAAACAAAAAAATGTTCCCCAAGATTCCCAGCACAGAACTCTGAGAAACAATGAGAGTTTCCCTGTGAACTATGAGAAATGATTTCTTCCTGCAAACACCACCCTGCCCTTAGATCACCCCAACCACACCACCAGAATTTGACCAAGACATCCACAAACACTTAAAAATTCCTTGCTGGGTATAATGGAAATGTGAGGGACACATTTCCATTATAAAAAAAAAGAAGCACTAAAAAACCCC